GACAGGTGTGCAGAGAATGACGATCCCATGAAACAGAGAAATGTAAACAGCCCACAGGATCTCAGGGAGGCAGGGCTGGCACTGCTTGGTAGAGGCAGGGAAGGAGGTGACCTTCGGACTGGGGTAACTAGAGAAAGGCAGCATTGCGCACAAATTAGTAGAGTGTGTTCCTTCACAAGGAAGTAAAGGAGCATCGTGTTTCCTTTCTCTTTACTTTGGGGCCAGAATCCTTTCTAAGAAAGACTTCATTATTATACAGACTCTCACACACACACACACACACACACACACACACACACACACACACAGATTTGTGTATCTCTCCCAACCTTGGTTCTCTGCTCTATGAGAGCAAAGTTGTTGCTGTTTTCATGAATGTATACCTTCCTATTTATGTGACTTGAGTTTGTTTTTGTTTTGTTATTGTTGTTGAAAGGATGTTGCTATGCTGCCAGGCTGATCTCAAACTCTTAGGCTCAAGTGATCCTCCTGCCTCAGCCTCTTCAGTAGCTGGGATCACAGACTTGTGCCTCCACGCACAGTTCAATCATGTGTTCTCATTCAATGGGTCTGTGATCCAGATTGGATTCGAGACCTTTGGTTCTCAGGGTGCTCTGGCACCTTGAGAAGGGCAGTGTGACTTGTGTGAAGAATACAGGGAAAGGAAGTGGATGTGGACAGAAAAGGAGCCTAGAAAAACAGATAGGGACAAATTGCAAAGGCCCAAGGAGTTTAAACTTTATTTTATACAATAAGCAGCCACTATCACCTGAGCTCCTTGAGCAAAAAATAAAAAGGAGGAAAGGGTCTAAAATTGTTCACCTTACATCATGTGTGGCAAAGCAGAGTTGAATTTATAAACTAAGGATCATTACACAACCCAATATTTTTATTATTATTACAAGAGCAGTGTGAAGATAAATGGTTAGGGAAGAAAGAGGGCCTCAACTAATGTTACAATAGTCGAATAAAAACAATAAAGTTACATATTTGAGAAATTGCAAACTAGGACAAACGCGAGTATACATAGAGCAATAAAGTAAAAAGTCTTCTTAATAAGCCATGAGCAGGCTTCAAAATATATAGAAGGCTTTCCACGAAGCGTTTATACCAACATCATAGGTATTGCCGTTTTGTTTTGTTGTGCAGTGCTGGGGCTCAGATGCAGTCCTCACCTGCACCTCCCTTGTCCTAGGCAAGCCCCCCCACCCCGCCACTGAGCCACACCCCGCCCCTCTATTCAGAACCATAGCCTTTGCTCCTCTTCCCATGATGAAGTCACAGAACAACCATGTACAATAGAATTTGGCCAAACTGACACAGTGAACTCACAATCTATGGCATCACTTGAAATCATTTGCGAACCAAACCAGTTAGCATTTATGGAAAATTTATAACCACAAAAAAAACTGAGTGATTTCTGGCACAAGATACATTCAGAGCTTGGCCAGAATATGTAATTCACATTTCCTACTTACCGTTTCCAAGGCTTGTCACACAGCTTATCCTGCCTTCTTTTTCTTTCCAGTTTTTTGCCTCCTAGGCTTCGAATAAAAGCACTTTCCCAGATTGCCTGGATTTAAGCAGTTTTTATAGGGTCAGGAAACACCTAGGGATGAGTGAAAGCACTTTGTCCCACGGGTAGGGGGATGTGCTTTGCGATTTCTCAAAAACATGTCACTGCCCTTGGAGGCTTTTGCAGTGAGGTTAAGGAGTCCTTTTTGTAGATATCTTTGAAGAAAAACAGTGGAGCTTTCCATGGTTGCAAATCAAAAGCTATTTTTGAAGCAGAACATGATTAATCTTTGTCCTTGGTATGCCTATGGGCTGTCTTCCTCTTTAATACTTCTTGTATTTTGTTTAAATAATCTTTCCCCACTACCACAAATTTCTACAATGTACTACAAAATCTGTGGTCTTCCTTTCTGGGGAAGGGTTCCCTGAAAAGGAAAAGAACACTACAGCAGCTTTCTCTGGTCATTAAATCACACAACTTTGGGGTATTTTTCCAGAGGTTGGGGTGGGGGCATCATCAAATTTCTCTACTCAGGGAACTCTGGTTAATCATTTAAGTAGGGTGGAACCAGCTACGGAAGTCATTTCTAGGGTTGGAAATCTGCTCTTGCTGAAAACCCTAGAGGTGTTGGCCTCAGTAGTCCATTCCGAGGGACAGAGAGCCACTTGACTCTGCCACATGGCTGGGGGGTGGGGTGCATTAAAAGTGCATCTTCGGTGGGTCAGACAACCATGACGAAGTGGCCAAAGAGAACAAAAATAACTGCCAGATAATCTTGCCTAATGTGTTTATGTTTAAACACTGTGCATGATTTGCCTTGAGCTCAATAGCTACTTCCAGAAACTAAACCCAGAACGGAAGGCTCCATCCACAGGAAATGGGACACAGATCCAACTAAATTCAGCGCTTGAGCTGTCTCGTTCAGATGCCCTCTGCCAGGAACAAGCCTCTGCAGAGCCCTGGAGGGAGAGGGAGCTCTGGGGTGAGGAAACCTTTGGAAATCTTGGGGCTGCACTGAGGAATAAGTGGGCCAGCAACCCTTGACATATAAAGGAAAGTTGAACTGATGTGCGCAATCTCGCACCAAGACTACTATTTTACATTTTTCAATTGTTAAGGAAGTCCTCTTCATTTGCAGTCACTTTTAGTGGAGTTGGGAGTGGAACAATAGCATGAGGTAAAAGTTTGTTTGAAGAGGGACATATTCTTTCTGAGGTTCCTCAGCACTCTCCACTGCCCCCTACTTGGATGTGTTAGAGTATTCGCAGTAATAAAACACATGTCTGGGCACTGTGGGAGTCCTTTTGGTCTCCAACCAAGGCATAGCTCAATTATGGGCACGGTCACAGGCTAAGGGCGGTGATTACGAGGCCCAAGCAGGAACAAAGCAAATATCAGAAAAGGAAGAGAAGTTCTGAGCCTTCCCTTGAAAGCATTGCTACTGCCGCTCCCGGGACAGGGCAGAGGCGGCAGCACAGGTGCCGGGTGGGAAGGACGCGTCCTGCTTCCCCGCACTGAGAACCCTCCTTGCCCCTGGGTGGACACAGCCACGACACCAAATTTGCTGCACAGTCCCAGCCTGGGGAGGAGGGAGAGAGTTGCGGGACACTCGTCTGGGAACGGGGGGGGGGGGGTCAAACCCCAGGTAGCTATGGAGGCCTCTGCCTCTGTTCCCCTGGGGAACACAATCAGGTCTGTGATTAGCAGCGCTGCCTCCCTTCTCCCCTTCCTGGCCACTTCCCCACCATTATCTCCATCAGCATTCCTTCCTTTACTGAGGCCCTGCTCGGGCAGGAATTCAGCCAGGGGTTGGGAACCAGAAAATCAAAACAAGATGGTTTTCGGGAACCCTGAAGTTGTTCCAGAGGAGCAGGACATGAACCTGAGCACTGACCTCAAGGCACTAAAGGAGCTGAGACTTGGATTCAAGTGAGCTTGCTGCTTAAAGTGAGTTCACCCCAGAGGACAGAAGTTACTGGGAATTGTGTTCAGGTTCATCCAAGGAAGTACTTCCCCAGACTCAGATATTTGAAAATAAAATGATAAAATGAGCTCTGCTTGGGGGCGGGGTGAGCGCCTGACCTCCGGGTTGTAGGAAACAAGAGGCTGGAGAGCCAGTTCTGGGACGGCTTGGCAAGGTCCCTTCCAGAACTAATAATCTGAATCCCCCAAGGGGCTGCGGCTCTGCTAGAGGGGTCAGTCTGCTGTAGCCTCTGGTGGGGATGATGATGAGGCCTGGCCAGGAAATGGTAGAAAATGACGATGCCAGTTGGGGACTGAAAGAGGGAAGACAGGGAGTTGAGTAGTTCCCAAAACAAACTACAGCTGAGTGACTGAAAAACATAAATGTACTGCCTTGGACCAGCAGGCTTGAAGCCTAAAACGAACATACAGAGGTCAGATGTAGTAGGGCATACCTGTAATCCTAGCACTTGGGAGGCTGAGGCAGGACGATTGTCATAAATTCAAGGCCAGCCTGAACTACACAGCAAGACGCTGTATCAAAAAACTCAATAGTGCAGAAAGGGGTTGGGTCCCCTGAGGGCTCTGAGAGAGACTCTGTTGTCAGCTGTCCCTTGGCTTGCAGCTGCATCCCTCCAGGGCTCCTTTCTCAACCAACGCCCTCCCTGTCTTCCTATGCCATGGGCGGGACGGAGTGACACTGGCAGTCAGTTCCCTTCTTTAGCTATCAGTTTCTTCAATGGTAAAAGGAGGTTAGGCTATTCCATTGCAGGCTTTGTAGGACTTCCTGCAAGTCGATATTCTGTAATTTCATCATTGGTCTTTAAGAACAACTTCACATGCTGAGCGCTATGATCTATGAATAGGGAGTTAAGCGTTTTTGCTACGGTTGAAAGGGAAGAGGAGACAGCATTTCTTTGGAAGTCAGCTAACATTTCAATAGGGCGGTCACTTCTGGGTCTCGGTTTTCTGAGCTATAAAACAGAAATAACAATACAGCCTCCAAAGAGAAGAGCGTCAGTACCCACAGACTACATTACAAGTCCATAGAACAGAAGCCAGCGGGGAACCGGACGGGACTAGCAGGGCGGGGTGGGGCGGGGCCAGGGGCAGG